TTAAACATTTTGGAAGAAAAATTAAATAATCATGAATCCAAGGAGAAGAGAATGGGTTTTAATTTGGAGTCATTCTTAGTAGAATAAGAATTTAATGATAATTGTAGCAAATTTTTGATGATTATTTAAATGGTTAAAATTCATTGGAGATGGAATTGGGGAACATTAACCCCTAATTTTTCACAGAGTTATAAGTGATCATCATTTCCATCTGTGATTTCATTTCCACCATTTAATTAATACTCAGTATTTCTCAAGCTAATTTATATAAAGGATATTTTATATCTTTATGGATGATGTAAATTAATGTAATTAAAATATACTAAACATTTGATACCAAAATACGCATGGATTAGATATTGAATTTCAAGGTTTTTTAAAAAGATTTTTAAGAGCAATAGAAAGCATGTGTTATAACTAATGAATTTCTAATTTTTAAAAAAAGAAGAATTTTAAATAATACGTTGCTATTTTTAACTTTCTATGTAATGCCTACAATCAATAGCTAACACCAGGCCACTAATAAGACATGCTTTCTTAGTTTTTTACAGAAACTAATTAGAGCAAGGTTATCACTTAATTTTGTTTAATTTCGCTGAGGAATATGTTGTTAAAAAAATTAGAATATTAAACTATTACTTGAAGTCTCAAAAATCATTCATCAACATTGAATAATTATTTAATAAAAAAAGTTAATTAATAATTTAAAATTAATCAATATTAATAATTATTTTTTAATAATAAGAACGAAAGTGATGCACTTAATGTTGATGGATAATAATAATTATCATCACTTAAAAAGAGTGTTCATGTCACAATAAAAAAAAACAGCTTCAGTTATAAACCTCAATGTAGGGTTAGTTGGAAGCAAAACATCTCAATGTTAAGAATGCACATATGGAATCTATATGCGTGAATACATAAGCTTCTCGCGTACACTTCCATTGTCATGCAGCTACTTTGCATTCTCCTGCACTTCTGAACGAAGTCACATTCCACTTACAACACCATGAGGACAAAGCTCTAGAAGTCTTGGCATATATGTTGAGCTCTACCTCACGGAATCTCCCCCATCTATGGACACGTTGGCGAGCTCGTTGCCAATCCCTCCCCATCGTTTTCTTTCGCATTCTTCGCCCTCGTTATACTCGACGCGCTTCGATTGCTTTACTCACTTTATATATATATATATCTACAGTTCTCTTGTTGATCGCTCATTTCTTTGTTGTGTACCATTGATTTATTAATTCAAGTGCTCCGATATAAGAGAAGTGGCCAAGAGCAATCGAGCCTTTACATCGAATCATTTGCAAGTAGGAAAAAATACAAAAAATAAAAAAAAACTCTCCCAAGTGTTCTTCTAAGTTAAAAAAGTAATGAAAAGTTTTCAAGTATTCTTTTAGCAAACAAATAATTGGAACCATAATCATTTTGATTTTATAATTCTAAAAATTTATTGAATCGTTATTTTATTATTTTCTTGTAAAAAGTTTTATCATAAAAACTCATTTTTGTATCCAACAGACCAATTGATAAGTTTAATTATAATATAAAAAAATTTTTTAATGAGATTAGTTGGAATTATGCTCAATAGAATAATTGTGTTTCTTTTAAATGAATTTTTTTAAATGAAATTAATATTAAGATTGTAATTATAATAATGAAATCACTTGGTTATCTCCATGAATTTGTACTCTCACAGAGAAAAAAATTAATTCAAGCATAAAATGCAAAGAAAGTTTTTTTTACCCAGTGGAGTACATTTAATACAAAAAATATGTAAATAAGATATGTAAGAAAGTTTATGTTTTCATTTTCTCAAATTTTTTTCCTAGAAAAAAATGTCGAGACATTTTCCAGCGCATTCTAACTTTCCACGACTTAAAAGAGAATAATTTACCGATGAAATCTTATTGTAGAAATCCAGAGATGTGCATGAGAATTGTTATTATATGTTAGTAACTTTATTTCACTTTTTTACTCTTATCTTTTTTGTCAACTTAGAACGATAAATTTTATGCATAAACATTCCGTTACTTTTTACTTTAACATGAAAATCTGAATTTTTTATTGTTTTATATATAAGTGTGAAAACAATTCTCTAAATAAAATTTTCTACAATGAATCTTATTTCATTGGAGAAAAAAAATTGCCTTTATTTTTTCCTAATTAATTATGTAAGAATTCAGTGCATCGAAAGTAATTAATAATCGATGAATATAAAAATTATTTAGACTCACAGTTTCTGTAGAATGGAGTAAAAAAATATTTTCGCTTCAAAACCAAAGTTGACTTACCTGTAACAAATGAAAAAAAAACTCATTATTAACAAATTAAAAACAAGATATTAATGATTAATTTTGTGAAGGACAAAATTCAATTTTAATTTTGTTTATTTATTTATTTATTTTCATTTTTAAATATTAAACATTTTACTAAAGCTTAAACTTAAATATAAAAAAAAGGATTTATTTTATCGAGCATAAATACATATATGAGTAGTTATCTAAAAATAAAAACCATAAACGTGAATCAAAAAATGTTTATGACAAGAAATAAAATCTCTATTACTTGAAATAATGAAAACCATAAACCATTTTACGACGTTAATCATTTTAATTTACCAACATGAGAATAGATAGCTCCCTCTTAAATTTATTCCCTTTATCGAAAAATTTCATCTCATTTTCAATTCGAAGCATCATGAAGCAGTACAAAAACTTTTTTACCATTTTTTTTTCATAAGTTATTATGTTAACTTTATTTTGCCAATTACTCCCTTCAATGTACACAAAACTTTCCAATTAAATTTTCTGATAAAACTCATTATTTAAAACAACCGAAGCAAAACAGCTAACATACTAAAGTTTATTAAGTTAATCAATATATTTTTGCATAAATTAAAAGTCGTTATTTTTTACACAATTTTTTTCTCAACTTGCTCCATATTAAATAAACGTTCTCTATCATCATATTTAAAACGCTAAAAATCTCTATATTTCCATTTAAATTCGTATTTACTTCTATAGGTATAGAGATAGATGTAGGTATATACTAAGTTAGCATTTTTATCTGATATAAATAACGTAAAGAAAAACGTGAAAAGTTTCCTCCATTTATTTCACCCTTCAGTTTTCTCACAATATTTCTGACAATATTTACGATCTAAAGACCATTGAAAATTTATTGTCACTGACAGATCTTTCGAGTATTCATTTTAAATAGGAAAGCAATACAATTGTTGCCCTTGGAACAAAACAAATCAAGTTGGAAAAATTGAGGATAAAAGCATGAATCTTTTATGCGTAGAATGTCTGCCAATTGCAGTTGAATATTCTCGTTGGTTTTATTTGCTGAATAAGGGGATTTCGTAGGGTACAATTAAGCGCTATACTACTAACCGTTAGTCTGAATTACGTGAGGAGAAAAGAGAAAACCAGAGTTTTTTCCAAGGGCGGCAAAATGACAAAAGAGCGAAGGTTTTTCTCGGACGAGGATCAAGTCGTTTCCAAAGGTAAGCCACGTATCCACCTCGTACGTTTGACCGTTTGTCATTCCTGACGTGTTTGCACGGAGCTTCTTCCACGCTCACACGTTCTTATTCTTATACAACCGACGTCAGAATCACCTGTGCACAAGACAACCACTGGAAGAGGCAGAAGATATAAAATGCATCCATCAACTTCTACCTTACTTCTAATCTAATCCCTTTTACTAGTCCTTTAAAGGTCGATTGATAGTTTCTGACTTTATGCTATCGTCTTTTTAGCTAAATGCATTTGAATGATTGCACTCCGAGATTGATAGAGCTAAGTGCTTTTATTCAGATTTTTGAACATTATTAACTGTAAAATGAAGTGTTGTCTTAATGTACGATTAATTTATTGAATTAATTTTTCAATAATGAGAAAATAATTACTTTTGAAGAGTAATAAAAATAAAGGAACTTTACAGAGGATATCAATGGAGTTAAAAAAATGGCATACAGATTTTACTTCATAGCTTGATATTAGTCTTTTAATATATCAACTCATCTTTTATCTCAATAAGAGCGAAGTAAAACTTCACTTTACTTCTTTAGAAAATTTAAAGCTACAAGGTTGGTATTTTTTGAACAGGTTTTTTTTCAAGAAGTACATAAAAAGCCTCAAGGTACGGTTGGAAAGAGGACGAAGCTTTGAGAAAAAAATTTCCTTTGAAGTAAATTGAAAAAAATAATGGAAACTGAATAATTATTGGATATTTGCTAATTTAATTAAATAAATTTTATGTTATTAAATATTCAAAATAAATCCTGACAAAAAAGATCTAGTGATACTTCCTGAAACTATTTTTTCTATAGTATACAAATTCAAATGATGTACTTTTAGTACTTGTAAAAAAATGTTCAAATCTGCAGAAATTTTCTAGAAGTCTACTCAAACTCCATCTTGGGAGAAAAGTCTGAACTTTAAATGGAGTTCAAATAGACTTGAACAATTAATTATTAAAATTTTTTTATTTTAATCCGTACTGTACATACTAAAACTTTATTCCAGATAAAAGAAAATTTATTTTAGAAAAGCTTGAAAGTTTAATCAATTACTTCTGCAAATGTGCTTTTAAAAAAATTATTTGATAATCCTGTAATTAACTCGTTACATTGATTTAAATGTTTAAAAATTTAAATAGCTGATTTTCTAAATTAATAAGAGTTTTATTAAATTTTTATTTTATCAGTAAAAAACTTACATCATAATGAAAATAGAAGCTCATTCTAATTCTGAAATTATCTCATTCATTGAAGCTCAAATATGTTTTGTGATTTTAAAGTTTCTCTGCTGACCATAAAAATACATAAAAGCAAAAGGAAATCCATAGCTTAAGAACTATAATAATTTAAAATAAATGTTTATATTTAATATAATCCGGAAAAGACTATTAAAAAGAGTTTTGCACTGATGAAATTATCAATTAACATAAACTAACTGTCAATGTTTGTTAAAAAAATTTTTTTTGTAGTTCTAGTAGTAAGTGAAATTTTACTAACTAGTAAGCTGACATCTACACTACCATGAACATAAAAGAAGACAAAATTGAAAGTGACGATTTACTTGACAAATTTATAAACAATTTGATCAAATGTCTCGACAACTTTCTGGAACAATTAAAGAATTATTATCAAGCATATTTATCAGTCGTTCTTAGTGTAAATCTGAAAGAATCATTGAACCATGCACACAAAGAAGTAGAATCAAAATATAATGATTTAAAAGTCCGTCTAACTGAATTTCAAGCTGTCATAATTAGAGACTCAGCAGAAATAAAACAAAAATTCAATGAAATAAAATTATTGAAACAAAATTATGAATTTTATAAAAACCTCATGACAAAATTTTCAAACAATGAAAATAATTCTGATATGATAAATAATATTACGTCAATGTATGAAAGAATACAAGGTCAATTAAATGAACTAGTTCCAGTCCACTATAACAAAATTATTAAACTGAATAATTTTAAATTTTATTTAAAAGACGGAACCATAGAGTATCAATCTTATTCAGATCAAAAAATATTTTCAATTCCAATTAAACATCGTATAAAAGATCTCAAGAGAAGTATTCAAAAAATTGGAGTTGATAAAGAAGTGACAAAAGAGTACACCACTTTAAAGAAATCTCTCCATGAAATAAAATCTTTGTCATCATACTCTGATTTTACTTCTTTACAATCAATTGAAGATACATTGACTGATAAAGGCTCTTTTCATGTTACTTCAGAAACTAAGAAAAGAAAAGAACATTCAACAATAGACGATAGATCCGAACTTGCAACTGATATACAACATGTGAAAAGAAAGAAAACTCGTCATTTCAATGATTCTGATGATGATGATGATGACGATGATGATGATGATGATGATGATGATGATAATTTGATAAAATCAAACTCAGAAGATGAACAAGTACTGCTATTTCAAAATGAAAAAACACCTAGTAATTCTGAAGATCAAATTCAAAACATTCTAAAGAGGTTATCCAAGAGAAAAATATCCAAAAAACATAAAAGTAACCGAAACAGAGGCAGAAAAATTATATCTTCTTCAAGATTTGTCTTAGAAAGCATCATGCCTGATGATGTACCGAAATTGATGAATATTGATGACCAAGATAATATATCGGAGGAATATTATAAAACTACTCTCCAGCTTTTAGAAGAAAAATTGAAAACAGTTGATGAAGTAACTAATTATCTAATAATTTACGAAAATGATAAACTATGTAGGGAATATCATATATTAAAGAAAGAATTAGATCAACTTGAAAAGCAACGATTCAAGACTAAAGAACAGGTTGATCAAATAGAAAATATTTGCAAAATTTCTGGTGACAATTCGACAAATATTCAAAAGAATTTAATTAAAGAGCGAGAAGAATTGAAAGGAATTGAACATGAAATCAATGATAAAAAATCAAGGGTAAAAAGAATTCAAAAATTAATCAGGAAATTAGATAAAAATGATTATGACCTTCAAAATGATAAACATGTTTTATACAATGGTATGCGAAAGCTAATTGGACACTGGTTGTTACAAATCCAGAATGAATTAGACCAGGAAATTGATGTTGAAAGACAAATAGAATTGCAGAATGACATTGAAAAAGCCAAGGAAAAACTGGCACTTATTGATGCAGATATAAATGACATGTATTTGTCTTATAATAAAAGGAAAAAGAATAGAATGTTAACTGATTTCGATTATGAAAACTTTTGTGAATATAGCAGTTTTACTGAATGCTTACTTCGATATGATACATCTTCCAAAAATGATAATAATAATGCTAATTCAATGGTAGCAATTGAAATCACAGAGAACAAGTAGAAAATTTAGATGACATTAGAAACTGATAATTTCAAAGCTAAATAATTTTATATTGAATAATTTGAACAATTTTTATTAATTTTAGATTATAATTCTACTCATTGACTATCCCAAAATTATTAAGCTTTATACAGACTGTTATTTTTTTTAAAGAAAAAAAATGATGTTTATTAATGCTTGATAGCTAATTAAGTGTAATTGAATAATCACTTTTCCTACATTACTTGCTTTAACAACAATTTTTTTGTTTGACATTGAACTTGATAGTGATCACTTAATTGCACATTCACTCATTTTAAATGATTTCTATAAATAAAATATCCTGAATACTCTAGCTTTTATTGAGGTCAACTGGTTGGTGTATGATCAATCTAACTCAAGTTTAGTGAATGAATCAGAATTAATCACAATTGGACATTGTTTATAAATAACAATAATAATGAATGTGATGTCAATGTCATGATATTAAATACATCTATTATATTTCATCACATTATTCTCGTTATTTTTTGTAATTAAAAAGATAATTTGTTCATTCACTGCCTTGTTGACCTTACATCCATCCGTTTAGGATGGGTTACTGCTCACTCAGACATTTATTTAACCAGTGAAATCATTGAAGACTTTATTTAGCTGGCATAAATTTTTATCAACAATATCTATTTTTTTTTATTTATTCAAAATGTTGATTTTTTAAGTTTCATTATTAATTATTGTTATTATTGTAACAGTGAAGTTATGAATGAATTTTTTTGAATAGCAGAAGCATTTATTCATAGCATTCAATGCATTGCAAATCTATCTGTGGTTACGAGATACTTCTTCTTCACCACAAAACATTATTCACCAGTCAACTACTTTATCTCTACTAGAATGACTTCTTTTCATTCAACCATTCTTACTTAGACACTTGGACAATTATTCCGTTGTTTAAACTGCCACCCTGAGGCAAAATTATTATAAAACCTTTAGACGAATCAAAGGTTTTCAACATAATTTTCATGCTGCATTCGTGCAGGAATGCAATCTTGGACACAACTCTTTGTGGAGTGTTCAAGACTTGTCTCATCATTGCAGTGACTACCGGAGTAAGGATCTTGTAACTTCTTGTATATTTCTCGCTCAAGTCCGGGTGTACTTTTTAACCGGCTTTTCTTTTTCATGGCGTACCAATCCGACATTGAAAAATGATGCTTTCATGGTATTCAATATTAAAGTTTGAGAGTCTACTTTGCTGATAAAAGCTATTTAATTTAGTCCATCACTATAACAAAACAATATTTATTTCCAAACAAAAAAAATTTTTTTTTCATCAATTATTTAAGTAGAAATGTAGTTATTGAAAGATGAATTTTAAAATAATGTTCAGCTATACTAGACAGTTTATTACGAACAAGACTCGTTATAACAACTAAAGCAGGGTATAATTGAGGTCACTCGACATTTATAGTTCAATAAGGGAGATATTCCCGTACGGGACACAATTCAAATGAGTAATTACAGAACGTGTAAAAGCATATCATAATCTCTGATAGTCAACGTGGTATATGCATGAAATTAGATACTTGGACTCGATTGGTTGGAATTGTAAAGCTCTATGGTCAGATTATTTGTCGTTGGTTCAAAAAATTTATGCTATCTAGTCACAGACATGATTTAATATCTTGCATCACGACTAATTAATCTTCATATAGCTTTAATAATACTAACAGATTAATTGATACCATCAGCAGTGAAATAACATAATTTCAATTTTATTATAAAATTAATTGCAATATAATAACTTGATATACATTTTTAATTAAAAAAAAAGCTATCAACACAGTTGATACTCATCAAGATATTAAATTCAAAAGATGTTATATACTAAGTGACACAAACTAATGCTGCTACCTCAGACTAACTATAGCCAAGAGCTGTTCAATATTCAGGAATCTCATGGAATCTAATATTCATCGAGCCTTTTCACGCGATTCCGTGCACGCTCGACATCAGCAAAATGTCGCACACATTTTCGTCCATCACCAGCCTCTATGGATAATTTCGTCGTCTAATTGTCAATCATCGTGACATGTATGTAGAACGGTAGGATATCTATCGTTCTTACCCCCCATACAGAAATTTGATTATGAGCCTAATTAAAAATACCATCCTGAAATATTCAAAAGCTATTTTCAGGTTCAGTTTAGTAGAATATGAATATTAATAGATTTAGATGTTGAAGATATTTTCAAAAATTAATTGTTTTTATTTTATTGAGGTAATTATTGAGCAGGTAATCATTCTAATTTGATAATTATTTTCAGATGACCACCATATCAAGATTAAGAGAGCAATTTCCAATTATGTTTATAAATTGGATAAAGTATTTAATTCCACAGTTATATAAATTTGTGTTTGTTTCTGATGAGTGCTTAAACTACACATTTAGTCGCCATTTGACATCAAGCTTTAACCATTTTAGGTGAAAATGTGATCTGCATTGTTAACCACAAGGGAGTATACACAACTCGAATCAACGTAGCCATGAAAATAAAGGGATATATAATATTTTCACACGAATGATCAAATAATACTTCAATTACCATAATGAAACCATTGAGTATGTAATCGAACTTTGTTTTTGATGGTGATGTTTGATGTGTATACATTTTATCAAAGTTAATGTAACTTTAATGGATAATTCACCTGTTTACATTCATTCACTCTTTTTAATTAAAAACAAAGTATCACTTTTTTCTATTAATATCATCATTTTTTTAATTTTTTATATTTTCAGGAAATTTTCGTACACTTGATAATTTAATAAGATGTGTAATTTATGATATTAAAATTAAAAGCTTATGATATAATATTTACTATTTTGTATTGTTTAAAAATATAAATGCCATTATTTATATTTCTTTTTAAATTTTACGCGATGAAAAAACTTGATTTTATAATTTAATTATGATGTGCATACATTTTGGATACTTTTTACAAAATATTAAAAAATGATTGATTTATAAGGGTAATTCTTTTCCACTTACTAATCAAATCATGTGTCAACAAAAAAACACAATAAATGCAATATGAGAATTTTTTCAGTTCATAAATTTGTCTAAAAAATATTCATATCAACGTACTAAAGTGTTCTCTGGTTTTAAATTAAAAAAGTATTTTAAAAAATAATTTTGCAATGAATAATAATATTTTAAACCATCACTATCGACATTTTTCATTAAATAAATATTAGAATCTCTGTTAGAATTGTGTTAGAATTTGTGTTAGAATATTTATGAACCATTTTAAACGAAAGCCGATCAGACAAAATCGTTTAACAATTTATATTTGTCTATCAACATTTCAATTATCAATAGCAACTAACATTTTATCAAAGTTATAAACAAAAGAGGACCTATCATTTCTAACGACAATAGATTAATAATTAGCAACTTCATAAGTTTTACTGTTATCAGGACCTCTAATAATCATTATATGTGAAAATAAATAATAAATATTCATTCTTTTAATTAAGCGTTAAATAAATAATAAAATATGAAATAATTTACATGGATATTAATAAATACAAATTACAAGTTTTGTTAACGATAATTGAAATGTTATCACCAAGTATTTTATGACGTCGGTATTATTGAAAGCCATTATTATCATTTACACTTGCCGACTCGTTAAATACGCTGTATATATATATACGCTATATATACATATATAGACGAATGAAGAGTCTGAAACGGAAGTAGAGATTGAACATTATACATTGAAAGGCTATTCGTCCAGGGGATTTTGACAATGCTTCGACAAATGAATCTCTCGGCTCAGTAGTATGAATACTATGACCCTGGATAGAGCCAGGCAGATCGAATAATTATCGAGAAGCGTCGTTAACGACTCGTCGCCCAATTGTGCGTGTCAACGTTTGAAATAGACTTCACTCAACGGCTTTGTGCATACGCGATTAATCATGGAAACTATTTTCTACCTATCTAATCTGTATTCTGTCATTCTCTTATACTATTATTGCCAAAAATATTTACTTGACTTAATTGAGAAAGAAACTAGCAGTAAATTTTTTTTTCGCAATTCTATTTCTGTCTTCTTATAGGATCCATTAATCTTATGTGTCTGGCATTCATTGACTTTTTAGGAACACGGAATGAGAATTGCTTGAAAATTTTTTATATCCTCACACAAAAGTCTATGCTGAATAAATGATTAAAAAGTTTTTTTTAATTAAAACCATTTGTAATTGTTTATAAAAAATTGAAATGGTTATAAACAATATGAATATGAATAATTCGCTTCCCATGGGGAAGTTAGTTATTAATTCATCTAAATGCCTAAAATAAAAAAATCATTAAGAAACTGGTCTAATGATTATAATTGGTTGTAGAATGCTATTTAAAAATTTTAATGATGTTTAGAGTAAATGATTTCTAAAGCCTTCGACTCCAAAGCTTGTCAATGATGTTTCAGCAGACATCATTTTGACATTGACGTACATGTATACAAACTCAACAAATAACTGTTGTTTGAAAAAAAAAGCATAATATTTAAAAGCATCAGCATTTTGATGAGTGTATACACGCACAAAAATTTTTCTACCATTCTGTAAATGAAATTTGATGTCCTGTAGTTTAATTTGTCAGCCGCCAATGACGATGTGTAAACGAACAAGTGTCCACTCTCGTTGACTGCACTGGCACTTGTTCGTTCAGTTACCACTTTTACCTCGATTTCTCGGAACAATAGTTTTACGATGAAACAACAAGTATTCGCAATCAGTGACAACTACAAACGAAAGGTGAAATACGTCGATCAAAATACATTTTTGTAAAAAAATTTTCGTGAATTAAATCACTATAGGAAAACTACATATTTTTAATTGAATTTAAGATTAATTCAATACAATAATACAAAAGTTTTTCGTCATATAAAAATCCAAACAATAATAGACAAAACTTTCCTAAGTGCTTCAACGATATTACATAAAATATTTACCCAATAAAACTTGGAAGTTTAAAAATATAAAAACTCCTAATTTAATTCCCAATAATTATTTAAGATATTTTAATTATTAAAGAAAATCGATAGTTATTAAATCAATTATAACTTTCTGCATAGTTTATTCCTTGTGAATACTTTAAAACAAGGCCAAACTTTTCGCAACACAAAAATCTAAAAAAAAAGTTAATAACTTTTTTTATGTGTTTATTAGGACTCTTCGTCAATAATAAAATGGTTTATTTACCATCTTTAAAACACAAGAATAATTTACGTAAGTAGATGAACTTGTATGAAAAATAGTATAATACAAAATTTAAAAGTTATCATTTATGATAATATCTAAATTACTCTAATAATTTAAGCTACACGTGTTCACAAAACTCAACAAAGTACACATAACTTTTCTTTCTATTTTTATGAAGTCGTTTTGCATGTAAAGTGGTCCATATCGTGTAGGGAAATTGAACGGCTAGCGGGCAAATTCAAATCCGGCGCTATTATTACTCGACATAACGTGCGCGAGATGATATCAAAATCATTTGGGAATCATACATACAAACTGTAACGATCCGATAGAAATCTCGGTGAAAGTTAGCATAATATGAGCTCGAGAAAGTAAAATTCTACGATCGATCGGCCAAGGTTTGATTAAATTCTCGCTCAAGAACTTTACACTGCACTTGAATTAATTTTACTAGATTTATATGCATTACGCCCTGAGAAATTAGAAAGCAGGCGTCAAGAATTTTCAGTTCGGTCATAAATAATAGGAAGAGAAATCTATTTATAACATATTAATTATCATCAGTACCTGATCTAATTTAGAAATAAAAATTAATATTCTTCAATTTTTTCTCTTCTAAATATTGAAATAAAAAATTAATCTCAACAATAAAATTATTTTTCCCACAACTCCAAAATAATACTTCGTCATCATTAATTATTTTAATAAAAAGATAAAAATAAAGTGTCCAATTGAAATGCGATTATAACAGGAAATAATTAATTATTATTATCTAAATTAATATAAATATTTTATAAGAAATAAAAAGTTTTTTTCCTTTATTCTTGATTTAAAAAATGTATTCTAGATGTTATCATTAAGGAAAAAGTTCCTCTATTTGTTTTGAAGTTATAATAACAGATAAAATGACTCTATTTATTTAGTGATTAAGTTTAATTTAAAAAAATTAAGCTTTACGTAAACTATATTTAACTTGGTTGACAGCAGTATATCTATCACTACTAACTTTTTATATCTTTGTCAACAAAGCACTTTTAAAATACCTATAAGATAGAGTGAATGTTGTAAATTTATCATGAACGCCTATTATCAACGTATAAGTATTGATATCATTAGAACACCGATTCAATTTTTTAAACCATAAAAAGATTTTTCGTTTTTTGGAGTACGTATCTTTTTAATAATATTTTCTTAGTCAGTTAGATAGATTATCAGTACTTTTTTCATGAAATAGTTACTAATAATTTAGTAAAATTAATCTACCTTTTAATTTTAAAATGATGTAATCAATAAAATGATCAAAGTCAGCAAAAGATATTCTACAAGTTCAATAACTTGTTTTATGAAAATATTAAAAAAGTAAATATTTTAAAAATATAAGCAGTATTATTTATACAGATGGTCGATTATGAAGCAACATTTATTAAAATTAATATCATCGTGACTATAAATTTCATTTGTCTGACGGATACTGTTCAAAATTAGGGGAGCTATTCACTCTAATTGATAAATATTAATAGCAATATTCATTCCATTTTATGAGAAATAGTCAATTAAGAAAATCATTACAAAATTAACCACTGCAACACATTATTTATCTCATTAAAATTCATTAATAATAATTCTAGCTTCCCATTGACAGCCTTTCTAATAAAAAAAAAAGAGACATTTTCAAAACTAGAACAACTGAAAGGTGTAGGTGGTCGTCGCGCCACCGTACAGTTTACTAGTCAACTCTCAGAGAATACAACACAAAGCGATCCTTGATATTTCAGAATATTTTCTAGGTGTTAATAACTGAATACTTGAGTCCCTTGGAAAATTTTTTTACAATCTACAACTGAATTTAAATAGCTTGGTGAACTAAATCTAGACTTTAATAATACGGTGTTGCTAAAGAAGAAACACAACTTACATGGTAAAGATAAAAATCAGCGCGAGAAACGAGAACAAATTAAAAAATTAGATCAGATATTACTTACCTTTTTCACCACTTCCCTTCGCTCACGAGCAGTTGGATCCTTGTCCTCCCCTCCCTGAGTCATCGGAAGCACGTCCGCTGGAGCTGGTGGCACCGTTCGTATGGCCTCTTCAAGTCGATGGCTCGATGATAACGGGATAACACTACTGGTTGCAGGCACATTCAATTTTTCATCAACTTCCGGTTTCTCTAAAGTTTTTTGCTGTTCATATTCCTCGTCAATTTTTGCCTAAAAATAAAATTATTAATTTGTTAAAAACATTTTATATAAATAATATAATATTTTTTATTGATTAAATAAAATAATGAAATCATGATACTTATATGATAATCATCTCATTTTTAATTTAATATCATACAACGTAATAATACTAGCTTATAATTCAATAAAATGTGATATATCTTTTGTTTCACTAGAATGCTGAGACAAAGGTCAAGGTTTTCTACGAAGTGTTTACATTTTAGTCTTCCTTTAAATTCCAGGAATAAACACTCGAGCGTTGTTACTCCAATTTAATTTTTGCATCTATTTTATTTTCAATTCAGCATTAAATTTATCAATAACTCTTTCTTTGTTAGAAACTAGCTTAGATATGAGTATATTTATGACTCAATGTCTAACACTTGGCAAGCAAGTTTTCGGACTTGTATACAAATACGTTACATGTGCGTATCAGTGTATGTAAACAAACTGTTTGGAGATATAATACAATTCATGATCAGCTAACATGTAATAGATGAATATTTAATACAATCCATCACAAATGACGTCATATGAAAACTATAAGTAACTTGATTGACAATGACGATAGTGTATTAAGGAAAAAACGTAATAGATAATTGATAATAAATAAATAAAAATGAAACGTGGAAAACACGTGGAACTGAGTCGACGCGGAGCGAGTAATCGAAATAATCCTGTCTTAACTAACCTGTAGCTTCTGCTTGTCTTCTAGGACATGAATATCTTGATAAACGTCACCTGGACGTTCCAGACCAACATTTATAGCATGAGGATATCCACCAGGACCATGGGGATCATTGTGTCCAGTGGCACCATGAGGTGGTGCCGGTATTAAAAACTCCGGACCAGCTTTCTGTATACTTTGATACACTTTATAAACACTGTTATATGCCGAAATACCGGTACCACTACCAAAATCAGGCAAAAAGAAAAACGTACTGAAACACACGATTCCAAATGTCAAAAACACTAAGAGTATGAGATACTTTTCACGTATACGAAACGATCGACGCGCAAACAAAGGCATTGGTATACCATTAACGAACCGTTGGTAGGACGGCAAAAGTGTTGTTTTATTCGTCATTCTGTCAAAAATATTGATCATAAACGATTTTTTATCCACGCGGCTGGCTAAACACACGAACACACAATTTGTTACCGTTTCTTAGCTGTCACACGCCATTACGGTGGGGGAGAGACTGATGCGCCATCTTTGAGTGAAAGTTAAAAGTTTATTTTCATGAGCAAGCGCGCCTCTAATGGCGGTTATAAGAAACACTTTATTCACTGGCGGTAAAATTGAAATTAACATTGTCGACAATTTTAAATTTTGAAAATAAAATAAATTTTTAATAAATTAAATAAATATTTCTCTACTAGTTTTACAACTTCTGAAAGTATATATACTGTCAGATATTGTATTTTTAAAAAATATTCATAATTAAATTTTCAATGATAATTCATTATTATAAATTAATGACAATTGTATTTATGGGTGAATAGGTGACGTTGAATAAAAAGATAAAATTTATTATATAGAACATTTTATTAAGAGTTGGGCGGACATATGTTTATTTATATATGTATATATATATATATATATAGTATTTTTAAAACAAAATACTCATGTAAAAAATATAAAATTAAAATATTTGTACATTAATTCAGCACAAAAGATCATTCAACATATAATACAATACATAATACACAATTATTATATGTAAAAATAATATCGAAATTTGACATAAAATAAACTCATATCATTACATACACAGAGATCATGTTTCTCCCACTCGTACATCATTTCTTAGGTTTACATTTATAACATATGATATCTAATATAGTTAACATTCTTTCTTATAACGCGTAATCGTTCTTTGAACGGACACAACATTACTAGTATCACAATGCTTAATCTATCTACACATGATTTGTAATAAAATTCCTGGTTCGCTCCAGGTTTGAAATCTCAATATTTCAACCACCAATATTAATAATTAATACTTTTAAAACTTGTCTATTAATTATATACATTCTATTCTACTAATAATTTTTTAACTCAACTAAATAATACATTTCTTCAACTACTTACAACAGTGAAGATTAAAAAAAATTAATTTAATTACTACAAAAATTTAAATTAAAGTTTAAAATGCACGGGAGACAAACGACAGCTTCGGCTAAAATTAAAATTTACATTGACATACAAAATTGTTTTTGCTGTAGTATAATAATTGCTTTTTTGCTAAGTCTTATATGAATGCATTTAAAGAAGTTCCTAACCGCCACCAATCTTCACTGAAAAAATTATTCAGCGAAACGATGGCACTTGTATAACGACTAACGTAGTAATCTTAGTTTTTTGGTCGAAACCGAGACATATAAAAATCACAATCTGAGCAATATATAGCTGGTTCAACGATTTGTTTCTTACGACATAGATTACAAGGAGCAGCTCTAGGTATGGCTGAAGCAGAAACTGATTTTTGCATTGAGTTTGGTGCTGACATCATTCCTGTTGGGCTTTTGGAGTTGCCTTGCATTGAAACTTGTTTAACTTGTTTAAGCATCGGTGGATGTTGATAATTTGGATACTTCATATTAGGCTGAATTTGTCCGTTTTGTAAAGAATTAGGGTACACCTGATTAGGACCTAATACAATTGGTTGATCAACTTTCTGAGGTGGCCTTTGATAATTTTGTTGATAAGCTTGGTGTTGTTGAGGCATTTGGAGATGAGATTGAACCGATTGTGGCTGCATGCTTGACTGCTGATGATGCTGAGCAGACATCTGTTGCTGCTGATAATTACCAGGATTCGGTGGTGATTGATATTGAGGCGCGGATTGATTCAATCGACCTTGTTGATTTCCATTTTGTCCAGGATAACTTTGATAATTATTAATAGGATATTGATTCTGTGAAGCGTATTGCTGATAAGGATTTGGAGATTGATTAAGAGGATATCCGTGTGGTTGAGAATGTTGAACAGTTATTGGACTGGCATTAAGACTTGAACTACGTTGAGAACCATTTTGTTGAAACTGTTGAGCACTCATTTGAATATTCATTTGATTATGTTGTTGTTCCAGGTGATAATAAGCCGGATAACAACTCTTCTGAACATTATTATTGACTTTTTGTGGCTGCTGGCCATTCATTTGAGGATATTGATTGCTTAACTGAACTGTGTAGGGGCTAGCAGGTTTCTGAATTTGCGAAGGTGGAATAGCTTGATTTCGAATATGTGCGGGTTGAATTTGTGGATATCCTTGGGAATTCATCGATGACGATTGACAGTAAGGAACTACACCACTTTGAGTATATCTTATCTGCTGTTGTGTCGGTGAGTATGACATTTTTGGCTGTGATGTTTGAACAGTAGGATAATTCTCTCGTATTTCATGACCGTCGGCAGTGTAGGAAGTAAAAGGCTTCTTGGTATCCGGATTAGAACCAATTAATTCATTTGCATTCTGACGATTAAAAGCTTGTCTTGTTGAATCAACCATTGAGGTAACAGAATTCACACTCCTTAATTGATCTTGGAATGGAGTTGCTGGAATACTATCGGCTTCACTTTTCAAAGGCAATGTCTGCTGTTGGAATTTAGTGACAGGACCATTTTCTCGATTCAATTCTGCTTCCTGTAAGCTTCGAATCTCACGTAAAACTTGAACCGTTTCAGGATTATTTATAGCAGAACGAAGTACTCGCTGGATAATTGGATTAGGAATATAAGAATCTTTTTCATCATCTTCAGCAGTTGCAACTAAAACTACTTGATCACAAAATGATACACTCTTTTTCTTTCCAACTCGTCGTTTTGCTTTTTTCGGAGCCATATCATCTTCATTAGGTAAAATTGTCGTATTTTGAATAGTATTTTGCATTGCTACTTCGCTGATATCGTCTTCAGGATAATCTATCGGAAGCCCATTTTCATGAGGCAATACCAATGACATAGAAAGTAGAGCAGCATTCAATCCACTATTTTGGGATCCGGGAACTTGATTATGTGAATTTTCTGTTGGAACGGATACAAATGTACCTTGACTTGAACTCGATTCTATGCTGGAAGTAAGACTTGAATAATTATCTGATTTAGAAAATGCAGCAAGATTTTCACTTGATAATGGAAGCTGAGTATTTTCTTCAATTTGCTTTTGAGATTCAGTACTTAATCCCATGGTTGGAGATGGAGAAACAGAACTATTATTTGATTTTAATGTATTTTTGGTATCAGATTCAGTTTTAACAGATTGTAATTTAATTTGTTCAAACCTTGCTGCCATGTCTTTAACAGATGAGACTGTCTTAGGACAATCCGGCACATCAAAGCCACCAGATTGAGGGTTAATGGGTCCTATACTATTCATCATTAAATCACTAGTTCTTCTTGCGATACTTCGCGGTACATCTTGACCTTCCAATGGACCTTGTTTTTTCAATCTTCTCTCTGCTTGTTTAGCTTGTAATTCTCTTAACCATGTTTCACCCGAATTTTTATCTTCTTCCTCTTGTACTCCACTAGCTTTTCTTTCTCCTGTATTATCTGATGTTAATATTTGAACTCTTTTCATTTGGAGCTGCGCAAGTAAACTGCTGATTTGCTGTGCTTCCGTCGTCTGTTGATACGTCTGTGTCTGTGGCTGCTGTGGTTGTGAATGATGAACAGTCTGTTGAGTCAACGAGTTATCTACTTCAATAGGCGATGGTGGTGGAGGAAAATCTTCACTGGCTTGACGCGAATGAGTGACTGAAGGAACAGTTGGATATGGTGGTGGTGGAAAATCTTCACTTGCTTGACGACTATGTGAAACATTGATATTTGTATTCTCTGGATATGGTGGTAGTGATTCCAACTGCTGTGTCTTTACAGGACTTTGTTCGTTGTGCACATCAGCCCGTGTTATAACAAAAGTAGGTTCATAAAGAATACCGTTGGCATACTGAATAACATCATCTTGAATCCTCGGTTTGCTATTTGCAAGATTTTGCTGGTTTGATTGTGAAGTGAATGCGGGATTAACATTTTGTTCTGAATTATAGGAAGGTAGGAATTGCAATGAATGAGGCTCCGACGAGTAATCATCATAACTATTTCTGCACATTTGACTACTAGGATTAAAATTGATGGGATTAGAATGACTCCAATAAGCATTAGTCGATTGATCTTGAGAAGAATTCATCGCACACTGCCCATCAGATGGATTATATGATTTATCTGATTGGTGCTCGTTGTGCACTTCTCCAGGACACTTAGCCTTGCTAAGTTGGGAAGTGGTCCTGAGCGGCGGTGGCGGAGGGACTTTCGCAACATGTAGCGCTTTTCCAGCGCTACCGTGGAAGCTTTTCCTCATCAAACGACTACGTTCCAGATTTGGATTTCCATTTGGACTATTACCAGAAAACTCCAGGTGACCCTCTGATAAATAACCGCTCAATGATTGACCAACATTATTTCCCTTTAAACCGACTGTTGAATCATCAACAGACTGTTTTGGCAAAGTGTTAGTAGTAGTCTCTGGAGGAGCGATCGGCTGGCCATCTTGTCCTTCCCGAAGATCTGGCATACTTCGATTCTTCCTCTTAATTAATCCTCCCATTAACAATTTCCTTCTAATTTTATGCTGCTTCTTTCCTTGTTTTTGATCAGTAAGTGTTTCAACACCATTAGGTAAGTTCTTAGAATTTTCTGGATTTTCTTTTTTATCTTGTTTAGAATTTTTTGGTGAGGGTGTTGGCTTTGATGGTGCAATAGAAAAGTCTTTTGCAATATTTTTATTTCTTTCTTCACTTCTGGCACGCTTTTTCTCCTTTTGATCATCACATCTTTTAGTTCGACCAAAAAATCCTGTTCGTTGCGTTGGTTTATCATAAAGCATATATTCTTCATCTTCAATAACATTTACAGCTGTTACTTTACTCCTCAACGTTTTCTTCTTAGGCAGAGTCGCATAAATCTCAATATTTTTAGTAGCAGGTTTATCTATAGCTTCTGAAGATACATTAACTAACATTTCCCGACTATTCTGTCGAGAATGATTACCTTTGTCACGTGAATTTTGACGTGAGTGTTGTCCTGATTTACTACTCTCTCGTGAATGTCTTCCTTCCGGAAGCGATTCATCTTTTTCACCATTAGCTATTGCTTGCTCTTGCAATATCCTTCTATGAAGGCTTCGTGTTCGCATAACGCAGGTGTTATGTTTCATCCTAGCAATTGTTATACTATGAGGATTATTGTAAGGCGCGTCCATGGCAGCTCTAGCTTTACCACTCGCAGCATAACAAAGTGCTGCTGCAGTATCTAAGTCTCCAGCATCTTCAGCTGCTCGGGATTTGTCAAGTAGAGCATCAGTCTCTTTGCAAAGTCGCTCACAATCGTCTCCAGGCGCCGGCTGATATCCTTCGGGTATTTGAGCAAGCTGAAAGTAAAATTCATCACATTAAAATTTTATAATAAAAATATTTGATAAAAATAAAACTTTTGATTTATATAAATATTTTTGTGTCAGTTGAAATTAACTTACTTGTAAATTATGTTTAAGTCCTTGTTGAAGTGGAAGACTGTCAGTTGAAGAAAGAGAATAAGAATCATAACCAGCGTCATAGTGGCCACTACTACTACTAGATAACTCTCCAGATTTACTTGTAGGACTTTTAGGAATTCCTGAATTCCTTTGCATTTTATTTACTATATATAGATAAGGATTATCCATCGTTGTTGAAGAACTAGAAGAAGCACTGTTTCTGTCTCCTGACCAATTACCCGAATCACGTCTTCGAGGTACATTCAAGTGATCCGGAATACTAATGCCGTCTTGTGAATTGGATCCCGCACTCAGACTTCGTGTCAGTTGCAATTGCTGTTTCTTCTGCTGTTGCATCACGTTTTCTACAGCTCGTCGACTAATATACTTGGATTCACTCTCACCATCCACTACATCAACATCCTTTAATAATAAAAATTTAATTAGATGCTTTAATAAAAATGAAGAATTTCTTATTAAAAAAATATTTTTTAATTTACCTTTACTCCAAAGATATTATTCTGTATGTCAGTAAGATTTTGATAGTCGCTATAAACTCTTCGCTGAGTGTAAACGTGAGGCGGACTATCAGGATTAGGAGTTATCGCTCGTCTGGCAGTATTATTAATGAGAGGTTTTTCAGGACTAGGTGTAACAGATCTCCTAACATTATTTTTCTGTGGTGAAGTTTTCCAACCTTTGGTATTGGGAAAAGGAGTGACAATTTTTGGAGCATTTTCCGTATTTACTGGAGTTCCGCCGGGAGTAGCGTATAAAAGTAAAAGAGGTTGATATCGACCTTTTCTACATTTCTCAACAACTTGCTCCCAACGTGGACCGATTTCTTTAACAGTTGCGTCATCAAAGTAAATCCATACCTAAAAAAGAGTGTCAATTTTAGATTTGGTAATTTTTTTCCTTTCTCTTAGCTTTTTTAAAGCTGTAAGAATCTGACTAATCTAGAATCTCGTTAAAAACAGAATATCATAAAAGTACCTTCAACTTTGTATGGAAGAAGAACGTTGAATAATGCTTGCCGTAGTACGTGACTACCCCAACGAGATTATGAACAGTGGAAGCACCCCAACGCGAGTCTACAACACTGTGAAAAACGTCGCTGAGTCGTAGGCACGTACCGACAGTTGCGAACACATCCATGATATGTTCAAGAGAAGGTCTTTCGCTATCCCATACGACTCCAACTGATACTATCTCTGGTCTGTTCATCAGCGTTCGACAAATCTGTATTTTAGCTCCACACGCACTCTAAAAAAATAATTAAAATATTAATAAATATGTTGACAATTTACTAAGTGAAAGTATTTAGTCACACGGCACAGTTTCCAAGAATTAGCTCTATAGAATTACACTTTCTTTATGACTCAATGATTAATTAAATACAGAAAGTTAGCGGAAATTTTTCATTACTGCACGCAAATTCATTAATACTCACTGGACAGTCACGGATGTCTCCCATACCACCAGCTTTTCGCAAAAGTTGACCAAATAAATCTGGATTATTCTTGGAAGCTGGTAAAATTTGCCGTGCTTGAGATGTAAGTGCTGATGCCGAGACATAATGGACCATCTGAAAATAACAAACAAAAAAATTAAATTAAATTTAAAAAACTTCCCACGTTCTTTCTAAACAAATTATAATTCTACTAATCGAATCTAAAGTTCAATAACACCCAGGTAAGCGACGTAACAGCTGTTCCAAGTCAACATTTTGATAATCTAAATTTTCTCAGTGAAATCTCGAGAGTCGTGGGAGGCAGGCTCGAGGGTAAGTTTCGTTTCTCACGTGCTCAAAGAACATCAAATCCTCCCCTGCAGGGTATGAAACTAATTCAAGGGTAAGAACTTGGTCTTTAGATTTATAATACTCCAACTTTACAAAGGTCATGGTTGACCCTCAAACATCCGTATAACACACAAGGTGTTTTTTAGTTTCAGGTAAACGCCCAGGTATATACAACGTGGGAAAAAAAATCCTGTGAACTTGAGAGATCTTCGTATAAACTTTAAGACCCAAGACTATAAGCCTAATTCTAAACTTTGGACATGGTTTACAGAAATCTCAAAGATAGACAAGATGGCAGGCCAACCAACAGAATATTTAAATTTCAACTTTAGCTAAAATTTATACAAACCTGTGTGAATGGAAGTGGTTCTGATGTAGCTCCGCATGCTCCACAAACACTTTGTTCCACTAATGTCATAGCAAATTTCTGGTGAGGGACACAGTGTCGTGCACTGCACATATCCTCCGCCTCTCCACTTGCAATGTGAAGATGAATTCGTAATAGAATATTTTCCTACAATGAAAAAATACATTTGAGGTGAAAAAAATAATACAATGATTTCTCTTGTTTGGTTTATGCTTCTATTACTATTTTTTTTTCGCAACAGCAAAAACAGCTTTTAGTTTCTACTTTTATCCTACACACGTTACAAATGTCTATTGTAGGAGTGACAACGCCAATACATATGTAACAACATACCTACGCGAAACATAAACGTGATCGTAATATAAACTTAATGATGAATTTTAAAACTTAGTAGGTGTAAATTAAATATATATGCTCTAGTGTTGAAGTCAATGAAGAATTTCAGACTTGATTTTTCAAAGATTTTATCTGAATAGAAAATAAGAAGTGTAATAACTTTGAATCAAGATATCGTTGTTGGAATAACAAGTTAACAAGATAAATCAAAAGAAAAACTTACAAAGCACTCAGCAGCATCATCCATAAAACCAAGCTGAAATCGTTGTTGGTCGAGAAAACTTTCGGCCAAGGCTCGTCGTAATGCATCAGGAGGTAGAGCACTATCCTGCGAAAACTGCAGCTGCGAAAACAGGTCCTGTAATACACAATAGAACTGTTGTAAAACCAAATAAAGAACTCATTTCAAAGGCCTGGGGGTGTTTTGTACGAAATTTCAAAGGACAAAAAACTACTTCTTTTTGGATTCGAAAAATACTATGAATGCATCAAGCGGATTACCATTGTTATTCAGCTTTAACGAGTTTGTCATCAATATTCATGATCGATTTTTGAATAAATTCACAAAACATCCCAAATTTTTAATGCATAAAATGACATGTATAGCTTTTATACTTTTCCTTAAAAGAAAAATTAATAAGCTAAAAACTGGAATATTTTTTCTAATTTAACTATTTTTCATTCTTTTTTTTTCTATTTATTATGTTTTGTGCTCTCTATTGAATGCTTTTTGCTCAAGTATATTTTTTAATTGCATTCAAAGAGTCCTTAGAAAAAAAAATTATATTTTTGATATAATAAAATAGTTAAATGTATTGACCAAGTAAGTATTTATAGACATAATTAGTATTTAAAATAATGATTATTAAGAATCACACAAATCATCAATTTCATTTGATATTTCCTTTATTATATCTCATCTCATATGCAAAACCCAAGAGGTCAAGAAGCGAAAGTGCATCGTCCTGAGACAAGTTCTGAGTACAAGATTATTTTTCAACGTGTCCCCAAGATGTATATGACCTCATGATCACGAGCTATTAAGCCACTATTGGGTTCTCTATAAAAGATTTATACCTCAATATTGCCTTGAGTTGTAAAGTTTCGTAATAAGTGTCGATGTGTCTTGGATAACGGTAATGTGAGTATGTATATAGAAAGTAGGTACCAATATGCCTTGGGGGCATTCGGTATGTCAGGGTTGTATCTTTTCCTTAAAATGAGTTGAAAATAAGGTTTCTGGGATTATTCTTTAGGGATTAATAACGGGTTATTAAAATACCATTCATGTCATTAAAACGAGGAAACAAGTCAATCAAGTACCACTGCCTACATTAAGTTCTACAAAGAAAATAAACTACGTATTATGGATTGTACATTGATTAACTCGATTGAAAAAGTCTACTGAATAAACGCGACAAGTATGCTAGACTTTTGGAATCATTTTTTATGGTATTTTATTTTAATCCATACCATTGTGTTTACTCAAGAAGATAAGAAAGTAAAAAAAAAAACGTCACTCTTTGAACGGTATTTAAAGTTACGCGATCTTTTATAAAACAGGTTTGCTTGACAATAAAAAAAATTGCTTGTATTGCAGAAAACCACACCAATCAACTTTTCGATGAGTGAAATCGTTGAATCAAAGTTTAAAGCAGCCGAGGTTATATCAATCTTGTTGGTATTTCTAATATATAATAATTTCCCTGTACCAACTGCGAATTCCTATGTTATAGAGACATAAGTGTGTATGCTATAATAACGTAATATTTAAAGAGATAAAAAGAAATATAAAAATATATCCTTGAGAGTGAACAGTGAACGCACACAAAGTTGATGTATATTAGTGTGAGTAAGTTTATTAATGTTAGAGGTTTTTCAAAAGATCGTAATCATGTATTGTATTATTGATCAATTTCATAGGGTAATAATAATAGGTATTTAGAAATAATGTATTGAAAAAAGGAATCCATTTAGGCTTAAGAATAGAATTTACAGCATACTTTTTTCAAACTTCTCAAGTTGATTGCTGGAGAATCCTCTCGCTCCATTCCACTATCTTCTTCTTCTTCCGCTTTACAAGCAACTTCAATTTCTGGTTCTACATCATTTTTTGAATCTTTAGTGACTTTACTCCCCGCCTTTGTCCCACTGTCTTGCTTCACTTTAATCCACTTCAACATTTTTAGTTATTTATTTCAAGCTCTTGTAAGACAATTTTTCCGTATGAATAAATAATAAAATCACTCCTATAATTTGATGGTTTTATATTATAGCACAATTTTTCCTTTTATTCTTTGGGTTTGAAGCTCGTTTCTGACTATCATCACATTTAGCTTTGGCCAATGAACCAAGAAGCAGGTAAAGAAATCTCTTCTTGACAGGATGTTTCTTTCAAACTCACGTTTTGTGTATTTTAAGTATTGTGATAACATTATTTGTTATGTTCAAAAGAGTTTTAAATTTTTTACTCATATTTTTACACATTATTCTCATCGTCTCAACCTCACCTGTATTGGTAAGTATATTTAACCGTTCTCTCATGCATTTGTTAGCTGACTGATAAGATAATCATAAATGTGGCTACCAAACTTGTAAGAGATATTTTTTATATTAAAAATAATCAGGAAATATTAACTTCAATATCGATGAACATAATACATCTTATTTTATACCACGTGCTCTTACTAAAGCACTTTTTCACAATCACTTCAATCATCACGACATCTTCAACGATAAAATTACATCAATTCACTTTTTATCTTCTCATATGTACACCACCAGAATAATAATAATCAGCTCCAGTTATGTACATTTTTAAATCCACTCAATAAAACACTAAATTTCCTTCACTTTACCGTCAATTTGTCTATTGATCAAACACCACATCGATTTAACTAACGCTTACATGCGTCTAATCTCCAGAAAGCAACGCTACGCACTGCGTCAGTGAGTAAAATAAAAAATAGTAACGCTGTACACTCTTTCTGGGGGTCTTACTACCTGAGTCTCTTGTAGGGTACCTGAACGCGCGTACCTGAGGACGGCAAGTTGCAGAGTGCTGCTTAACCACCCCCACCCTCGCTTGGGACCAAGCTGGGACTGATTTACCCCACCTCCCTCTCCTGATAGATCTTAGAGGCCCAGCTGACGTCATCCAGTTAGCTGTACCACACGTTCACTGAGCTGGCCGAACAGCTCGCGCCGCTCACGCGACCCATACTTGAAGACCATGAGTATGATTGTGTTCCAGCCTATTATAAATGTATGCGTATCCAGTTTTTTCAGCAACATGTGTGTGTAGAACATGTACGGTTTCTTTTTATATGATATGTTACTGAAAACATGACCTGGTCTTGGTGGTGTAAGTGACTGGAGTCATGGATGCCGATTATGTATATATTCTTGATGTACTCTCACACCGATAAACTCAATCTATCGAGTTTTACGAGCGTCATAACAGCAGATTGAAAGAGTGAGAGCAACATCCAATGGTCACTGCACGATTCCTTCAAGCGATATAAGAAACCGGGATATCAAGAGTCTCTCTCCGAAGGTATCCGAAGTGACTTCCACTTTATTCACAGCATGGTGCATGTTGTTGGACATTTTATAAGTGTATCATGCAGTCCACAGATGATTGGAAAAAATGCTCAATGATGTTGAAGATATATATGAGATAATCAACGTGACGTTAGGTATGCATAGATATTTAGATACATAGTAGATATTGGAAAAAAAAATTCCTTTTATTGAGAGTGAATATCATCAGATGTATATGAGTGACTAGTGAAAAGGAAATTACTCAAGATATGTAAAATGCATTATGAATGGAGCGTTGAAATTCATGCCTTCATGTAATTCACTTACATCAACTGTTTCCTCAATTCTAACAAATGCATATCATTTTTTTTCAAGTTAAGGTACATGCTGTGTATTCATATTTGCACGAAATAAATAAGATATTCTTTGAAACTCCGAAAATTATGAATTGGAAATGATTAAAATATACATCAGTTTTTATAAGAACATAGTAATTTACAGTATCATTTCTGAGAGCTCATGACATATGCACGTGTTAATTTCAGAGAATAACGGGATTTTTTTATAAGTAATAAAGAAAAAAAATTACATTTAGTACACGTGACAAATTTAAATTGATATGAGTGAAAAGGAAATTATTTTTATCAACGTAAACATTATAAAAAAGTGCTTTTGGAGCTAAATTACTTAATATGATAATCTAAGTATTCAAGTTAATGTTCAAAGCAATTAAATCATACTTAATATGAATAAAGCATTGAAATTTTACCTTCACTTAGATAATGACAATTGAGTCAGTTGATTAGAAATTAATGTGAATACTTTCTCAAATGAGTTTATGCTGATAACGTAAGTAATTAGAAGCTAAAAATTTCGTTGCCTATCATCAACAGACTGACAGCTAATTTCAGTCTGGCTTATTTGAACACAATTCAAAACTTGAAAACTCTCCAACAGGTGAGTAAGTATATATAAAGAAGCACATATAAGTTATAAAGCTTCATGTAACAAAAGAATTTACCGATAGCTATAAAATTAGAAGAAAAGAAGTTCCAACTAAGGGTCATTCTTCTCGATGTGTCATGAGGAAAGTCACGTGTCCCAAATTCATTCCACCTGATTCATCTTCAAAATATGTTAGAGGATCAAATTGATCTTTGAATCAACCAAGCTTGTTAAAATTCAGTGCATATTCTAAAATTTAAAACAGGTTTTATTACTCATTAGCACATAAAAAGCGTTAGAAAGAGTATCTAATGTGACACATGTGCATCGTTTTGTGTCTGAGAAAATAAACTAATATTTAAACTGTTCAACAAGCAACAGGTACTTTTTTTTAGATGAATAGAAGCCATAATGGTTTTTAATTTTGGAGGTTTGAACAGCGGGTCACCATCAGAGGTGATAGTGATGATGCTTTTTTCCCTCTGGCTGTGAGAATTAACATCTATCCAATATCTCAGTGACTCTGTTTTATCCATGATGAAATGCTTTTTACTCACGCAATTAATTTTAGAATGAATTTTATAACAAAGTTTATTTATTCCCCAAGTCTGCATATCTGATTTTATGAAAATAATGAAAAGAGAGATAAATATGTGATGAACTGCAACAAATGCAATTTTAATGTTTTAATTCAAACTAAGATTCCTCTATATACACTCTTGGTGTAATTTCATTCAGAATATCCTTAATTTCCGACAATTAAATTCTGTGAGATTGCTCATTAATTCGTGGGAATATCTAGAATAAGTTTATACTTTGTCTACTCTACTTCTCGCGTCGTTGCGAATTCAACGTTGACGGGCAATTTTAGCATCACACACAGCATTTACTATAGAGAGTTAAATGAGCTTGACTCTTTGCTGACTCTTACATATGCATTGAAATAAGAGACAAGATTTTTTGTAAAATGAAACAGAGTAGTAGAATGCTACAATGACGTTCAACAAAGAGTTGGTGACTCGACAAACAAACTTGATGCTGTCAGGGAGAGTTATAATATAGAGAGCTATACATTAGACTGAGAAAGAACCTTCAAATGCTGGACCAATCAGATACGAGTCTTGCTGGCGGAGAAAGGTCCAGCAACCCGTTACAAGCAAGAAGTCCAATCGAGAGGCCAACTTGTGTAGATGTAGAAAGGGTCTTCATATATAAACTATGAAATTTCTGGCGTAACCTATTGTCTGAGAATAAAAGATAGATAATCGTACGCTATATACTAGCTCCAATCAGACTATTGAAATTTTTAGACAGTGTAAAATATTAACAGTTTAGTAATTTATGGATTTCTCAATCACTGGACAGTGTTATATAACTCTTTTTATCAAAAAATATGTCAAGAACGTATTGGCATTGAAAAAAAATAACTTATTAGTTTTTTTATGTCAAAACAACATTAATTATTATGACTATCTGTAATCATTTTCAATACACGCTATAGCTTCTGCTGCAATCGTTGATTCAAGTTGATGTACTTCAAATTCTAATTTATCAAGAATTTATATTAATTAAATTAATTTATTGAAATTCTTTTAAAGTTGAATTATTTATTAACTGCAATAAAATGTTTTTTATTCATGAACTTCGGGCTGATTATGTAATCCTTTGATCATTTTTTATTTAATTAAATAATTTCATAATTTTTCATTTGCTTTTATTTATCATTTTATCCTCGTATTTTTTTAAATATTTGATAAATTAATGGTATTAAATTTTTTTTTACTCCATCTCTTGGTCATTACAGTTAACCGATATTAAAAAATGCAAATACTGAACAAACTGCCTGTAATAACAGTATTGAGGGCTTCCAATTACTTTGATGTTTTCATGTAGCCCAGTATTTTAGCTTTTACGGAAAAAATCTTCTTTACATGGTATTTTATTTATTATATCGTAATTATCATTATTTAATCTCGCTTACCTTGAGAGCACAAAATATACAGGACTCACGCATGCAAGCATGGCCAGACAATTCTCGAAAACTTCTCCGGAAGATGTCCAAATGCCACAGCACCTAAAACCAAACGATGATATTTTAAAAATATTCCATTTTGAAAGACAAATTAATTACAATGAATTTCGAAATTAGATCTATGTTTATTTAAATTTTAATTGTCTCATTAGCTAAGTAAGTATGCAATATGGAGTATAGTTAATGAAGCAACATCAGCTAAAACAAATATGTATCTTATAATCATGATCAAGACATTGACATTTCAACTTCTATGAATGAATTCAATTGACATTCAGCCCTTTCCCATATTTTGTAGTATTCATGCCTCGATGATTATGTAGGTAGATATTTAATGCTTGCGTGTGCACCCTCACCCAGTACATTCTCAGTCATACGTGGCACTACACATTGACATGAACATGTAGAAGTACACCGAGACATACAAGAGAGTCTATCTAGCATCCTGCATGTTATATTGAGGGAAAGTAAATCAGAATTTCTTTACTCATATTCTCCATCATCAGAGTCTCTTGTAATGCTTTTTCCCTGATGATGTCACAGAATACATTGAGTTTCGCACATTAGAATTCTTCAGATTATTATTTTTTTTTTTTTCTAATAATAATGATTTTAATTATTCTAAAGCAAGATAATTACAGATTAATTTATATAGCTCATAAAATAAAATAATATAAGTGGGTTTGTCAGAGATGTTATCATCTTACACACATATAGTAGATGGAAGAAATCTTTTCTATAGATAATCAACGGTCTAGCCAAGACTATAGTAGTCAAAAACAGTTTTACATGGGATACTTTCATCAAGATGGGCGTGTTTCAAAATGAAATTGTGGGACCCAGCAGGTGAGGTGAAGAGGAGTACGGGAAAAGAGATAGTTAGGGCTGTACAAAGGGCCCTCGACCCCATACTGTAGATAGTGACGCGCAGTACTGGTAGCACACCAAGTGTGGTGCATCATGCATGGAAAAGTGGACGCCAGGTTGTTTACATGGGTGAGAAGCCATCACTAGATTCTATATAGCAAGTTGCGCATCGCATATTCATGTGTTTTAAATCGACTTCTCTACAAGAGTTTAAAAATTCAATTGTTGTTAATAGCAATGTTTTTGCTTCACAATTTGACAACTCATTGATTTTAATATATATTTATAAGCCTTTTTTTTAATTACATTTATTCTAAATAAGTGTGAAAAGCTCTTCGAGATGGAAAATTAGGTAGGAGGTCTTGCGAAACGACCCCACTTGTCTCGTAAATAAGCGTACAACCCTTAAATGGTATGAGGAAAATTCTCCTATGATACTTCTATATATATTTTGCTCATGGCGTTACGCAGGGGTAAGCGTGTGCAATCAGAAGAACCTTTTGAAATTCTAATTTCTCCAACTAGACTATCCACCCACATTATTTATTTTCCTTTATTACATAAAAGCCTGCGATTACTTTAACGCATAACTGCCCTCCAGAATTTTTGTTACAAATGAAGTGGAATGAGGTGTGACGGTCGAGATGCTTCAGGAAAAATTCACACGGTATTTATATTATCTTTTCCAACAATTATAGAGAAAGGAAACATATGTATCTAGTTGATTACTATTTTTTTACATGCTTGTGATGTTTTATTATCTAGTAAATGATACATGATCATCATGATCCTATAGACTATTTGCATAGCATTGACGCCAACGCACTTTGAAACAATAACAATCTATTTTCTATACAAATATCACGTCGAACACACGTATCCATTGCTAAGTGAAAGATTAATAAGCGAATCGAAATGAATTAAAAATAATTCTGTTATTATGATAATAACTTAATAAGCTTTATAAACCGTTAGATATAAAAAATCATACTCCAACTACCGTTAATTAATAAGTATTGAGAAATTACCAATTAGTAATGGATCGAATCAGTTTACATGTCTTTAATTATCAAAGTCTTGCTCACTTATTATTCATTTATTTGCTATCTGTTTTTCTATTCTAATTTTTCTCATGTACCATATACCTACTGATATACAGATATTCAAGCTACACTGTAAACTAGAGCAATGTCTAATTACCTAGTGTACCGATAATACTACATACCAGTGGTTTAATAAAGTAAAGCAGTAAATGCCAACGAGCTTAATTCACATTCCAAGTTGTATAATAATTAATATCTTAAGGGTATTATCGTAAGGTGATCTACTAAGCAAACCCTAAGAACAACAGAAACCATTAATTTATTTTTCAAATAAGCTGGATATTAAAAAATATTTCCATCAGATTTGCTGACTTCTAGAGCTAAAATTGTGAATAAGTAGTCAAGAGATTTCTAATATAAGGGATGTTGGATTTACGTACGCTAAAATATGCATTTTCTTTCACGTATCATTTACCTGATGCGGTTGGACGTAACGGATCGCGGTAGAATAAACACCACGAAGGAAGTATGTAAGTTGGTTGTATGAAAAAAATTGATGAAAATGCAATCCACAAATGTTTCAAGTAAATTAACTATCAAAATGAATGATGAGAACTTTAGAGAGGAGGCTATTGATGAAGAAAGAAATCGAGAGGCCGATCGCGTGATTGTGTGTAGTTGTACACATAGGTATAACATAAGGAGCAATGGACCCAAGTATCCCTGCCGCCATCTCAGATGAGTCTTTCTTCTATGGACCAAGATGTTGAAGATCCAAAGAATAACAATAATATTCGTCTTACAGACATGTAAATATATATAGTTGTATATGATGATACGGTTTTTAATGTGTGCTACAAACCTTGGCTATTTGGAACAGTGCTTTTCTACTTTGCATTTTATCCTGTTTCATTTTTTATGTAGGCGTTCTCCAGTTTGGAGCGATGACCAAACCAGTTTTAAGTTTGAAAACCAAGCTAATATTAAAATTTCACCAGCGTAACCCCATTAAAGTACCAAACAAATCGGTTACAATGTTCATTTTCAATGACACATACATTCACTACTGATTCACATGGAAAAAAATGACACTTTTACTGATGATGTATTTCCACACTACTTTCTGACGCGAGCGTCGATGCAACAATGCCTGGGGAAGGGCCCTAACCGGCTATGAGACGACGGTAGCGCCATCGCGGACGCGAACGACCAGGTAAGGAACGAAAAGACCCGCTTCTTACAGGCTAAAGGATTATAAAGGGGACTCATGGGCCTTTACTTCAGCGTATGTTACAGTGAAACAGCATCGCTGGAGAACGTAAAGAGAGATCCAAGACCATCAAGTATAGTTTGATATACCTGATGCCAAGAAACTATAGCTTACGCTGAGTAGTAGTACTACACGACATTTTTACTACAGCGTGGGTGACTTGCTTGGTCTCTGAGAGTGGGTCTGCGGAGTTGGTGAAGGGAACGAAGGGGAAAAGATCTGTAGAAGGGTCATACAAAGGGGAAGAGGAAGATGGAGAACAAGACCAGGTTTTACGCTACGCTACTACTACGAGTGTCTTGCGCAACTTATTTTGACTCATGAGTTAACCCAAGGCCTAGTGTCTATAACTCAGTATGAAAACCATTTATCGCCTACACATTTTCGGAGCAATTTAACGCTTCAAGTATTTAAACCCTTTTGTACTTGAAGTTTTATCATTTAAAAGACTCACAGACACTATGGAAATTTTTTTCTACGAGTCAGAATATTTTCCATGGATCTTGAAATGGTAAAAACCCATAAATTACCAGAATTTCTCGCTTTTTGTCGCTTTTAACAATAGTGAAAAAGTCTGAAGAGGCTTTAAAATACTTTAATACAGAGAATACTTCTTGAAAAGTAATATAGTAAAATGTGAAACAATTCTCTAGCTAGGTGTAAGTTTTGAGCATTCATCAAAGAGAAACTCCAAAGAACGTGTCAGCTTTTCGATACATTTTGCCGGTGTTTTCGACGTTTCCGCTTCGATCAATGTACATTGCTTTGGAGCTTCCTCTCCATATGTTTCGATTTGACTGTTCTGACGTTTGTATCAACGATGATTATTATGGTTAACCACAACTGTAGGTCGATCAAAGAACAAAGCTAAACATTCACGTGTATGATGAATCGAAATAATTCTTCAATCACTTATTCGTCCAATATACAAGTCAAGTTTGTCAATAAATCGCTTGAATGTCAAATATATCACATGAGAAGTGTTTTTCACTATTTTCTTTATCCAATATGGTATCACATAAATTTACCAAACCTTGAAAGTACTTTTCTTTGTACTTGGAGAGTTGAGTTGCAACAGACAAAGAGTGTCCACGTGAGTTGATGGAGAAGGAAAAGAGACCACCCTTTGTTCCCCTTTCAATGCGTTCCGCTTCAAGTGAAGTATGGAAGAAAGTAAAGACACACTGGAAAAGACTGGATGTAAGTTATTCGGCCAATGATATGATGGATCATTTGCGGTTGGTATATATACAGGAGATATTTGAATAATCTTCTTCCAGTGTAATGACATTCTATAAAGAATGTGAAAATATGGCCATATCGTAGCAGATGCTCCAAGGAAACTGGAGACTTGAAAATTTCTTGATACATTATCCAAGTGATGGTGTGACATGATGGTGATGCTTCTTGATGATTTTCTTTTTCATCAGCACAACACGCGTCTAACTTTTGCGATTATTCGTCCACGTGCGTATCGCCATACTCTTACTAGGCTTCTCTTTAGCATCTGTCGTATTTACTCGCAGTGTCCATATGGTGTTGAGTCTCTAGGAAGAGATCGCACAAGTTTATGCGCATAATTTTAGCTGAATAAATTTTACTTTTTTCTACTGAAACTCATAAAGATTTAATCCCTTCCATGATAAAATTATCCTTCATTATCCTGAATGACAAGCATTTATTACATAATCACACACACTCACACATGAATGCCATCTTAAAAAAATATTTGATTGTATTCAAGGATTAGAAAGATGACCTATGATTGCTGTGACACCCGATAAATTTTCCATGACAATATGAGATTTCGTAAATGTCGTTTAAAAAAGCCTCGTGAGTTGTATAGTAATCGATCAGGTGGT